CCAAATCACAATTAAAAAAAAAAAATAGACATGGGTAATATGGAGAATGGTATTTCCCCTTATTGTTTACTGTTTGCTTTCTATAAATAATAGTAATGGCATTCTCTTTGCCAACAATATCTCGTGTGTCCAAGTCAATTACAGATGAATGTAACACCCATAAAATAGTTTATACCAGTGAGTGTATGTGTCTCATTGCTAGCAATCTTATGGCTGCCTGGAAGTTTAAGGCATATCCTCTCTACATGTGCAGTGCAGACAGACAAACATGAGGATGCACCATTAGAGGTGTTGGTAGGGTATAATATAATATGATTATTAACGTAATCTCTACTACCAGCTGCCTTATGAAGAATGGATTAAAGGTGCTCTAACCCCATTAGGAGTCTGTGACAGTAAATGATGAAAAATGATGTCTTGTTCTGGTCTCTTTCATTTCACTTTTTAACTGCCATTCCTCTGAGTCTGGAAATTGACAAATTTCCTTTTGTGAGAGAGGAATTTAGCTTTCCTTCTAGCACCTGCTTAGTTACCTGTTGTTGTTGTTATGTGCCGTCAAGTCAGATCTGACTCATAGCGACCCTTCCTTGGGTTTCTGAGGCAGTATCACTATGGAGGTAGATTGCCCCATCTTCCTTCCGAGAAGATGGCTGGTGGGTTTGAACTGCCAGACTTCTGGTTAGCAGTCAAGTGCAAATACCACAAGTGGGTGGCTTAAAAAACAGAAATTTTCTCAAAATTCTATAGGCTAAAAGTCCAAATCAAGGTTTCAGAAGTGTTGAATCTTTCCTTGTCAATAGCTCCAGGCGAATTTCAGTTCCTTCGCATTCTTTGTAGTCCATTCTCATATGGCAACTGCCATACTCCATGCGTGTCCCTGTGTCTATTCTGGTCTTTTTATAACTCAGAAATGATAACACTCAGTTAGGATCCACCCTACATGGGTATTGCCTCATTTGCATAACAAAAGAAAATATCTACCAGCACAAAGCCAGGGATTCAACAAATATTTTTGTCAGATGTAATTCAATTCATAATATTTGCCTTAATAAATACTAGTCAAGCTGGACTATTAAGCCCCTCACTTACAATGTCCTCTACTTCTAGCAATGTCCTCTACTACTACTAACAATTTACCATTCTTTTGTGTCCTATTTAGATATCCCTTTTATCTTTTATGTAATTTCAAGATACTAAACTGTTTTTATTAATCCAGAATGGCATTTATTCTGAACCTATTAAAACTGGAATAAAAACAAAATGAAGTTTAAGGGACATTAAACGTATTCCAAAAACAATGTTATAGTGAGCACCTTTATATGCCTATTTTCTCAAACTTTGGCATTTTCTCGTAAACTTTCAGATCCAGGGATAGACCACACGTCTGAATGGGATGCAGAGTTGTTTTGATTCCTTTCTGATTCACTGATTAGAACAGCCAAGAAATCTTTGGCTATCTCTTTTCAGTTTAACTATTCTATGAAGGCTTCTCCTTTATCTTGAATTCCATTTTCTTCTTTAATAAAGCTCAATGATTTTCAAAGCAACCTTTGTAAGCATTATTATGGATTCTCATAATTTTACAAAACAATCAATGAGAGCTACTTCTCCTGCTATGTTATGGATGAGGAAAGAAGGTGCAAGGATGCGCAATAAAGGAATTAAGAGGCCAGGCCCAAGACTTGGGTTCTCAGTTATACTAATGGAGACAGCATGCTCCCTCTTTTACTGGTTCTTCTGCTACATTCACCCAATCTTGATCTGGTGGCCCTAGTGTCTAAGGCACTGGACTGCTAACCAGAAGGCTGGCGGTTCAACAACACCCCCCCACCCCCCCACCCCCGCACACCCGGGAAATCCCTGGGAAGGAAAATTGGGGAAGGAAAATTGGGCAATCTACTTCCGTAGCGATACCACCTCGCCTCGGAAACCCAAGGAGGGCTCACTCTGAGTCTAACTGACGCCATGGCAGTAAGTTTTGTTTATTCAGTTTATTCTGCCAGGTACCAGAGATCATTAGAAAAATAAGCTCCTCCCTTTTAGAAGCTCAGATATTAGTGGGAAATTCAACCAGATCATAACAAGGCACAGGGAACTGAAGACCCAGGAAAGAGGAAAAACGATGGAGCAAAGAAATCGCGGATGCTTTTTGACTTTGTAACCTGAGCACCCTTCCTGTACCAAGAGAACTATACCCCATCATGAGGTATAGACTATTAACCAGGACGTTAAAATGACGTGCGAAAGGTCTCATAGGTAGATTTTCAGTGGAAGGACAGCGTTTACGGCCACCCAATTCCCATCTCAAAATTTCAGTTTTTACCGGCTATGTCCGGAAGACCTGGATAAGTGGAATGAGTATCTACTGAGCCCAACGACCTCCACCACTCAGCGACCCAGAAACTCCTTCAGCCGGAAGCCCATTAGCAGGAAGCCGCCCCACGCGATTCTGGGAGCCCAATTAACCTCCAGCCAAGTCACGTGTCAGCCAAAGATGGCTGCGCCCCGGTTAATAAAGCTGAGGTGGTTTTAAGCCTCAAAGTAGCTGAAGAAAACCAGAGCAGGCACCGGCTGCTGAGAGAAGGAGAGCATAAGGTACTGGCATTCCCAGGAAAGGGTGTAGTAAATATTCCGGTATCAGGGGAAATCTGGCGCTGTAGCACCGGTAGCACACGAAATGGGTCGTGGCACTGGGCCGCAAAGGAAGGAGGGTTGTCGACCTTACGGTGCTGATCGTCTTTTCATTTTCCATCCCGAAGGAAAGAACTTGTGTTTAAATTAAGCCAATACACGAAAAGAAAAAAGTGTCAGCGATTGAATCCCTTGTTTACTACTGATTTATTCAGTGACCTTGGCCAAATTTCATTTTCCCAGGCCCCTTTATATACATTGCATTTCTCTCGCAGCTCTTCTAAGAGCAACATGAGATAGCGAATGCAAATGCTTTTTGAAATGTTTGTAGTATTTAAATATGGCATCAGTGATTGTTATGTGCGGTGGAGTGGACCCTACTCATAGCGACCCCTCCTTGGGTTTCCGAGGCAGTATCACTACGGAGCTCTGGTAGCATAGTGCCTAAGGCACTTGACTGTTAACCAGAAGACTGGCGGTTCAAACCCACAAGCCACTCCTCGGAAGGAAGGTTGGACAATCCTACTTCCGTAGTGGTACTGCCTCTGAAACCCAAGGAGGGGTCGTTATGAGTCGGGGCTGACTCGATGGCAAATAACAACATCACTACGGAAGTAGATTGCCCCATCATCCTTCTGAGAAGTGGCTGGAGGGTTTGAACCGCCAGCCTTCTGTAGCAGTCAAGTGCCTTAGGCACTATGCTACCAGAGCTCCTGGCATCAGTGATAGGGATGTATAATTGCGGCGACACAATGCCACACGGGGATTGGCCAGGACTTACACAGAATTAAGGTTGATACTTAATAGATGTACCATACAGATGGCAATGCAGAGCACGGTGGTAGCATTGGAAGTGGGCATCCTGAGGAATTAATTCCGACATATACAACATACACTTTTTTCCTCTGTATGGACTGAATTTGATTACATCTGTATTCCTCCACCCCACCCCCCAATACATTCACAAAATCATTGGTAGGGATTGTGTCTATTATATCACTGTAAACAAGAGCTTCTAAGATCCAACTTCTAATCTGCATAGTCCAGGAGTATGATATTTTTTTGCACTATCATCTTGCAAATAGTATCTTACATATAATAGGAGGTACCTAGTATCCCACTCCTCGGAAGGAAGGTTGGGCAATCCTACTTCCGTAGTGATACTGCCTCGGAAACCCAAGGAGGGGTCGCTATGAGTCGGGGCCGACTTGACGGCACACGACAACAACAACAACAGTATTTGTGGAAGCTCTGATGGCATAGTGCCTAAGGCATTTGATTGCTAACCAGAAGGCTGGCAGTTCAAAGGCCCCAGCCACTCCTGGGAAGGAAGGTTGGGGAATCTACTTCAGTAGAGATACTGCCTTGGAAACCCAAGGAGGGGTTGATATGAGTCAGGATCTACTCGATGGCAAGCCTAGTATTTGTCAGTCATTGTTGCAAGTTAATCTCATAGCAAATGTATGATGGTGAACTAAAATTCTGATGCATAAAACCATATTGGCCTTTGATGTTTTCCCTTAACTTCTGCTTTTCTTAATTCTGCTACTCTGAAATCTGTTGTTTGGATAGCTAAATCTTTAGATTAAAACTTAATCACTATCTCTCCCTGCTCTGACATTGTTCCTTGTTCAACAATCTACTGGCCTCTGACCCAGATGCAGCTTATGGCTTGTTTTTTGTAGGACCAGATAGCTAAGAATGGTTTTTATTTTTAAATGATTACGAAAAAAACATTTTGATGAAAACTTTGTGTATGATTGTGCCGATTTATATTGCTGCCAGCAGCACGTAAGTCTAAGTTGCCCTCTGTTCCTTGCCAACAATTGAAATTGTCATTTTTTAAAATTTTAGCCACCCTATGAGTATATATTGGTGTCTTACTGTAGTTTTGTTTCCCTAATTATAATGAGATTGCACATTTTTTCAAGTTTATTGGCTGTTTGGATTTTCTCATTTTATGAAGTGCAAAAAATCTTGTCAGTTTTTCGATTGAGTTTGCCTTTTTCTTGTTGTTTAATGTATTTTGAGTAGTAACTGCTACTTTGTTAGTGGAGCATTTTTCCTCCACATTTTTTTTTTTTTTTTAAGCTTATCTTTATGGAATCTATTGAGCACAAGTTCTTAATTTCATTATTAGTTTTGTCAGTCTTTTATGTTTGGTGCTAACTGTAAACTAAAATATTTTTAAAGATTGTGAAGATACTGTAATTTTAGAAGCTTTCATGTCTGGTTTCTATTTCACTCAGAATAATGTATTTTGGAGAGAGAGTATGGTATGCATTTTTTTTTAGGTTATGAACACAAATAAGTCCTTTGTTGTTTTTCTGTAGACAAATATATATATAATTTTTTTTTAAGGCTCCAAGATGGAAAATCATGATCCAGATAAGACTATCAAGGAAAACTTAGCAACTCTTGATATTGTAACCAGAAAAATTAACCAACTTCCAGAAGAAGAAAAGTAAGATACCTTAAAAATATCTCTTACCAAGGTAGATGTTCATCATTGATATCATTATCTCAAATTTATTTGGTCTGAGTATAAACAATAAGAGATGTCAGAAACAAACTGAAACCCAGAGAGAGAAACCATTTTGTTCAAGGTCATGTAGCTATTGTAGAAGTCTAGAAGTCTAGACTAGTCCTGGAGAAGGACATCATGCTTGATTACAATAGAGTGTCAGTGAAAAAAAAAGACCTTCAACAAGATGGATTAACACAGTGGTTGCAATAATGGGCTCTAGTATAACAATTGTGAGGACGGTGCAGGACTGGGCAGTGTTTCCTTCTTTTGTACATACATAGGGTCACTATGAGTCAGAACCGACTTGAGGACACCTAACAACAACAAAGAAGCCTAAAACTTCTATCATTGGACATACCTAATTGTATCATGGCTCAGTTTTCCATTCAGTTTGCAATATAGTAAAATGTAAGTATTTATGGACCATTTAAATAACAAAATCTTAAAATCTTTTAAACTTCAGATAATTCACTTTTACCATTTTATGCTTATTAGTAAGTCTAAAAGAAGCTATGGAACACGCATAGTTAGAGGTGTTCATAGGGTCATGGACAAAAGATCTTTTTTAAGATATTAAAGAGGAAAAGGCTATATAAGTGAACATTTGGATCTTTGAAGACAACTTGAACAACTACCAGGCACGTCCACAAAATGTCTTTAGACCTCCTTGGCAGTCAAGGCCTCTCTGATTACATTTAAACCAAAATGCTGAGCCCTAAAAAGATGAAGAGCCAGCCAGAGGGTAGGGGGAGCATCTTGAGCAGAGGGAATGGCTTATGATTAGGGCACAGAATAGGAAAGAGTTTGTCACATACAAGGAACCAGTGTACCTGAAGTACAAGGGAACTGGACATAATGTTGGAGGAACAGGCGTTTTAAGCTGGGGGGTGGTGGTGATCCAAGTATTGTTTTTAAAGAACATTATAGTTTTCTGGGAAATAGTTTTGAAATAGGAGAGAAAGGAAATAGGAAGACCAGGAAAGGTGGTATAGTAATCCTAGTGGATGGTGATGGTAGGATGGTGGCAGTTGAGATGAAAAGAAGATGGATTTGATATATATTTTGGAAGTATAATCTTAGAATCTTCAGGAAATGATAACTACAAATCCATTTACCATCTCAACAACCATCTCCTGTATACAAACTGCAGTTTTAAGAACTCGGTGAGATTTCATAACCTATAAATCTCCCCCCACCTATCTCCACACATATTTTTGTTTTCCTGTAGTAAATAAACTCTTGAAAAGGGCTTGTTGTCCATGTTTCCGGATCACCAGGGGAGAAAGGCTGGATTGACTGACCTAACAAAATAGGGTAGATGGTTTGAGAAAAAAAAAAAAGCAGCCTGTATCAGCGATCTTCACCAGAGAAAAAAGGAAAGCAGAGGGAAGTGAGTTGCAACTGCAGAATACGTTTTGTGTTTGGAAGCAAAAAAGTGCTCTCAGATATATCTGAACTGGGCACATAAACAGCAGAAGCATCCCATTACCTTTGCCTTTTCCTTCCCTTGTCATTTTATCTATCCTATAGTTCTCTGCCGCATGTAATAGGCACTCAATGAGTACACCTATGATAAGCCCCACTATGATTTCCAAGTGGCAAATAAGTAATACTTTCAAAATAATCCATTCAACAATAAAGGAAATTTAATTATGAATCCCAGAAAAGCAGGTTTGAGATTATTAACCACAGAAGTGGAGGGCGACTATGTGTGGCTAATTTGGCTAGTTAAGAGAAATGAGGAATTTTTGCACTGCAGGTAGTAAAAGAAGGCTGAATTGTTTGGAGACTGAATTTTCATTACCCATCTATAATTCTGGGTATTATTTTTTCCAAAAGTGAAACATACGGGTTATACATATTGTTATTCATATATACCTGGGCTTAGAAATCAGTTCTGCCACTATTTTAGAATATCAGCTTATTATTCTTTTCAGTGGATTATGGTAAGGTACCTAGCACATACCCATTGCTAGTGAGTTGATTCTGCCTCAGTGGGGAGCTCTGGTAGCATAGTGCCTAAGGCACTGGACTGCTAACCAGAAGGCTGGCGTTTCAAACCCACCAGCCATTCCTCAGAAGATGGGGCAATCTACTTCCACAGTGATACTGCCTTGGAAACCCAAGGAGGGGTTGCTGAGTCGGGTCCAATTCGATGGCACATAAAAACTACCAAGAACCTAACCCCAAGACTGTCTTTATGGAAACACACTGCCCTATCTTTTTCCTGTGGAGTGGATAGGTGGGTTCAAATTGCCTGCCTTAATTGTTGGCAGCTGAGTGCTTTAAGCACTGTGCCACCAGGGCTCCTTATAGCCCTTAAATGAAAGTACTTTTCTTAGCTACCAAATCTCACACTAATGCTTCAGAGAAGAGGAAAGTTACTTTCCATTACCTACACCTTCACTTTCAGGTACTGTTGAAACCAAATTGAATACATCTTTGTATCTATTTTCTTCCAGTTGTTTATAGACTCCTGGGTAAGCCAAACATACAAACCCATGATCCCAATACAGTACCACCTTATAGTGTTTTGTGTTAGAGAGTTAAATTGGGAATTATAGGAACCCAGAGGAATAGCACCCAGTCAGACTTTTTAGAAGTTGTTCCCTGTTACATAGTCAGGGGAAACTGCTACACAAATTTCTAAAAGCTAAAAACATCCCCATATCCTTAGGAGCTGACCAAATCTGAAAGCCTTTTAGAATTAAAAAATCTCTATGTAAAACTGTGATTTAAGGTTTTTGTTTTATAGGCCTATAAACGTTGTGTCAGAAAGTCCTGGTAAATTCTATAAGGAGCTCTGGTAGCATAGTGGCTAAAGCACTTGACTGCTAACCAGAAGGCTGGCGGTTCAAACCCACCAGCCACTCCCTGGAAGGAAGGTTGGGCAATCCTCCTTCCGTAGTGATACTGCCTTGGAAACCCAAGAAGGGGTCGCTATGAGTCGGGGCCGACTCGACGGCACGTAACAACACCACCACCACAACATGCTAAGATTTGGAGAGCTCATATGCACAACAGAACCAAGGGAAAAGTTACCATTTTTTCTTACCCACAGGAATCTACTTGAACATGGATCAACATATATTGGACTTAATGCTGCTCTCTGTGGGCTAATAGCAAATAGTCTTTTTCGACGCATCTTAAACGTGACACAGGCTCGGATAGCTGCCAGCTTACCAATGGCAGTGCTTCCATTTTTGACAGCACATGTAACTTATAAAGGTTTTGTAAGTTTACCTTTGAGTACAGGTAAATCCTATTTCACTATCACTGTAAGTCTGTTTTGGTATATATTATTTGCAACTTAAATTTAATAATTAATAAATATCAAATGCTAAAGTACCATGGACTGCCAAAAGAACTAACAAATCTGTCCTGGAAGTGGTGCTGTTGGAATGCTCCTTGAAAGCAAGAATGGCCAGACTTCGTCTCACCTACTTTGGTCATGTCATCAGAGGGACCATTCCCTAGAGGAGGATATCATGCTTGGTAAATTGGAGGGTCAACGAAAAAGAGGAAAGCCCTCAATGAGATGGATTGACAAGTAGCTGCAACGATGGGCTCAAGTACAGTAAGGATTGTAAGGCTGGCACAGGACTGGGCAGTGTTTTATTCTGTTGTACACAGGGTCACTATCAGTCACAGCCAACTTGGCACCTATCAACAGCAACATGTAACGTTTGAACAACACTGAACCTTACTAGCATCTCCATGTAGGGTGGCAACTAATTCTTATTAGCAGTCTATCAACAAGTAAGATGCACATACACAGCATTTCTACTTTATCTAGCTTAACTTTCCTAGTGTTCATATGGAGTAATACATGGAAGCCTTACTTAAAGAAAACGCAGTCTTAAATTTAAAAAATAATTTATATTTTATAGAGAAGTTCCTTACAGGAAAAGGTATTTTTATGAGAATAAAAGTACAGTAAATCCCTTAAAGCACTAAATGTACAGATGCTGTTTGTTGTTAAGTGCCATTGAGTCAGACCTGACTCACAGTGACCCCTCCTTGGGTTTCCGAGGCGGTATCACTACAGAAGTAGATTGCCCAACCTTCCTTCTGAGGAGTGGCTGGTGGGTTTGGACCACCAGACTTCTGGTTAGTAGTCAAGTGCCTTAGGCACTATGCTACCAGAGCTCCTAAATGTACAGATAAGAATTATCAAATAAAGGTTTGACAGGTGTTTCTTCATATGTATTTTTATATGCTGCAAATATATCCATGAATATAGCATACAGGGGGCAGAGTTATAAAAACACTTCTCAGCTATAACCAAGTATCTTGACAAATCAGTCACTAGGTCTGGACGCTTAGGAACATAGTCTTGGGGATATCAAGGTCAACTGGAACAACGTAGTCCACAATGCTCTATCTACATCCTACTTTGGTGAGTAGAGACTGGAATCTTAAAAGTTTGTGAGCAGCCATCTAAGGTACAACTATTGGTGTCTCCCCATCCTGAGCAAAGAAGAGTGAAGAAAATCATAACGCATGGAAACAATCATTCCAAAGAACTAATGCACCACACAAAACTCAGCCTCCATCACCCTAAGAGCAGAAGAATTAGATGGTGCCCCACTACCACTGCTGACAGCTCTGAAAGGGATCACAAGAAAGTCCTAGAGAATGGGAGAAAAATGTGGAACTCAAAATCATAAAAAAAGAAAAAAAGACCAGACTTATTAGTCAGAGAGAGATGGGTGGAACCTCCAAGACTATGGCCCTTAGATACCCTTCAAGACTGGAACTGTACTCACTCCTGTGGCAATAGATAGGCCTAGAAGATGAACAGTAACACCAGGGAGATGGGCACCTCTAGAACAATCAACCAACCACATGAGATCAAAAGGGTAGCATTTGCACAAGGAGAAAGCTCAGAAAGCAGAAAGGGATAGAAAAGGATTAATGGAATTGGTAAACACAGGGAGAAGTCAAAAGAATGACTTACATTGTAGGGGTTGCATCAGTGTTGGGGATTACAATCAATGCCATTAAACAAAATGTGTATGAACTGAATGGAAAATGTACTCTCAACTTCCACCCAAATCACAGTGTTACATATCTCAATTTAAAAATTAGATAGGCTAAGCAAAGGCTTACTTATGGAAATTTGCTTTCCTTTCAAAATTTACTGTATGTGCAGAGTGCTTTGAATATAGTTAATCATGAAAAATCTTCTTTAAAGTAAATATTGCTATACCTTGGGGGTTGGTTCCCTCTAAATTCTCTCTTCCAAAATTTTTAAAATTGGTTCAGTATTTTCTTAGAATTTTTATGATCAAGGGAAACTTGGTGCTCAATGAACAGAACGAGTGATGACATAAATTATTTTCTATTTTCAATGTCTTATACGTAATGCCTAAGGCATTTGACTGCTAACCAGAAGTCTGGTGGTCCAAACCCACCAGCCACTCCTCAGAAGGAAGGTTGGGCAATCTATTTCTGTAGTAATAGCACCTCAGAAACCCAAAGTGGGGTCACTGTGAGTCGGATCCAACTTGACAGCAGTGAGTTTAGTTTATACTAATTTTGGAAATGAATAGGGAGTTTATACATAAAGTCAACATACATGAAGTAAAATTATAAAGTGTAAATAGTTGTCCAAGTTCCCACAGGTTAACAAAGTTCTTAAAGACAGATATTGAGGTCTGCTGATAGACGGCAAGTACAAAAAGTTAACAGTAGCCAAAACCCTGAGATTATATTCAAATTCAGAATAAATCAGAGAATTTTTCTTAAGATGATCTTGACAGTTATTCCTGGATATTTTAGCTTACTCCTAAATGTTAGCAATTACACCTTTAAAAATACCATGCAGAACTGCATGTACTATTTTGTTAAACTTTTGTACAGAATAGTTGACAATGATAGGAAAATCAGCAGAATGTGTAATACATACAAAGGAACCTGGTGTTTGCATCATGTTTACTTGATGATACTGGTCTTCATTTCCAGAACTAATTAATTTATTTCCTAGGTAATTTGAGCTGTGAAACTTGTACTGTAACACGGGGTGGATTGGTTGGTCTTGTTTTTGGTGGTCTTTATCCTGTTATCTTGGCTATACCTGTGAATGGTGGCCTAGCAGCCAGGTATGATTCTTTTACTGTTTGCTCATAATCCTTAACAAAATACTTTAATGTGACTACCTAGAAAATTTTAAATAGCAAATATAAGGCAGTTCACTTTATTTGAAAGAGCTAATTTTTTCTGTTACAAGTAATCATTCTCAACAATTTAGAAAGTTACAGAACTTTATCACATTTTGTGTCTTAGTGTGTAGTTCAGATTATTAACCTTAATCGAGATTAAATGCTCACTGCAAAAAGTACCATACCTAGTATGAAAGCTACATATATACACAATATTCTTAAGATGAGTTTGAGTACTTCCACCAAAGGAAAATTTCATTAGCAAATACCTAGCTATCAGCCTACTGCTCCAAAATAATTTTAATTATTCTGTGATGAACTCTTCTGCATTAAGTAGTCTATGTTATAGACTCCAAAGGAGCCTCCCAAGGTGAACTGGAGAAAGGACAAAAGAATACCTTTTAGGAATAAGACACTGAAGAGAATAGCGTTACCATAATTTTACCTAAACTCATTTTATCTCAAGATTTCTAATATTAATATATGTTGTACACAGGCTTGTAATGTGATACAAAAACTTTTCTGGTGACTTGTTTTCTTATAGGTATGCGTCAGCGCTGCTACCAGAAAAAGGAAACATCTTAACCTACTGGATCAGAACTTCTAAACCTGTCTTTAGAAGGATGCTATTTCCCATTTTGCTCCAGACTATGTTTGCAGCATACCTTGGGTCTAGACAATATAAACTACTCATAAAAGCCCTTCAGTTACCTGAACCTGGCCTAGAAACTCCCTGATTAACTTCAAGTATGTACACAAAAATAAAATGGTAAAAAATAACCTATGTCTTATGTATGAATAAACAGACTTGTAATTTATTATGTGAGGTACCATTCTGGGACCTACAGCAAAAGGCTGAATCCCAGTAAAGGCTATCCACTTAAACAAGGGCACTACTTCTCTAGTTTGTCCAATACCGTCTCTTCCATCTAGCTCAATCCACTCCTTTACATTAGGCATTGAGTTTGGTCTAGAGGAAAAGACCACCATATAGCAATTTTCACTTAAGACCTCATGAAAAAGCCAAACAAGAATGAAAATGAAAAAAGAAAAAAACAAATTTATCACTGTACTGTAAGAAATGTTCTATTTCACTTTCTAAATTCAGTTTCCACAGACATTAGTGTATAGTATCTTACAACATATTTAACCAGTTTCCTCACACCATGCACACATTCACTGCCACTGAGTCAATTCCAACTTATAAAAACACTATAGAACAGAGTAGAACCACCTCATGGGTTTTCAAGGCTGTAACTTTTAAAGGAAGCAGACTGCCACAGCTTTCTCTTGCAGAGTAGCTAGTGGGTTTGAACTGCTGACATTTCAATTAGCAGCTGTGTCCTTAACCACTGCACCACCAGGGCACCTGTTCCTCAAGAGATGGTTATTCAGGGTCAGCTTAAGCTGTTATAATGATACAGAGCCACCAACTTCCAAAAAAAGAAAAAAAAACAAACCCATTGCCATCAAGTCGACTCCGACTCATAGCAATCCCCACTAGGTTTCCAAGGCAGTACATCTTTATGGAAGTAGACTGCCCAGTCTTGCTTCCGCAGAGTGGCTGGTGATTTGGAACACCAACCTTCTGGTTAGCCGTCAGGTGCCTTACGCACTGTGCTACCAGAGCGCCTTACAACTTCCAAGAGGAACCTTATTTAAATTCTTGGAAAAGTTAGATTCTTAAAGGATGTACCCAAATTCTTCTGGAAGCATTCATCTACATGTGAGATAATTGCTCATAATCCACAGACCTGAGTCTTTTTTTTTTGTCCAAGCTATATCATGCTAAACAAGTTAACTCACCTCTCTGGCCCTTAACTGCCTTATCAGTAACCATATTTAAGGTTAGTATTTTTTGTTTAACACAGCACCTGTATCATGCATTCAAATTGAGGTGACTAATTTTTTCTATTCCTTCTAGTTTTGTTTCTGAAATACCCAAGTCTCTGCCATTTCCTAAAACAGATCATTTAAGGTTTTGACATGACCTACTGTATTCTCGAACCTAAAATTTCTCATCCAAGTTTTTTTAAACCATTTTGCGTGACATCTTGCCCAGCTTTGTCCAAAAGATCTTTCTGTGGTGATGGAAATGTTTTATATCTGCACTGCCAATATGGTAGCTACTAGCCATTAAATGGCTACTGAACACCTAAAAGGAGGCTAATGCCAACTGAAGAACTGAATTCTTAAATTTTTAGTGATGAATCAATCCTAGTCATCACAGAAAAATGAACTACCTAAAGAACTCTTAAATGCTATCCTAAATCACATTCACGAGCATTCCACTACCTTCAAATGTAGTGACCTATCTGTTAAATAATCTTATGCTATTAAAAAACAAGAGAATTTAAACTATCACCTAGAAATGGCAGCTTCGGAGACAAATGGGTTTCTAGCATCTCTCTGAAAGAAGACAATAATGCAGTGCTGGCTGAGACTTGAAATTTAAGTGAAACCAACAAAGAAATAACATTTTCAAATTTTCACAACACAAAGGTCATTTTGCTCTTCCAAAATTCACACAAAATTTACTCCCTAACTCATAAAAGAAATGACCCCTTATGAGGCTTTAAAAAAAAAAACAACAAAAACAAACTACGTTCCAAGAAGAGAGACTGAAAGGATACATGCCAAAAACGTGCATGTTTACTGTGGATATTCTCTGGGTTACGGAATTAGGATTTTTTTTCTTCATTTCTTTCTGATTTTCCAAATTTTCTATAATATGCTCTATTCTTACACCCAGAAAAAAAGTTTTCTTATTATTTAAAAGGAAAATTACCTGTTTTTCCTACAATGTAAAAAAAAAAAAATCAAGATTAAACATTCGACTCAAAATAATCCACTTATTTGTAGTCTTACTTTTCTTATTATAGTGGGGGATATGACAAATTAGAAGTAACTCTTGACTTGAGAAGTTAAAGCCCAAATTACTAGTAAGTCTCCTTAAGAACACATTAGAGTAGAAACAACTTTTAGATAATTCAAAACCTACTGATAAAACTGTTTGAAAATCTGTTTCCTTAACTTACCCTTAAACATCCCCACAGTATTTACTCACTAGCAAATCATCAACTATATATGGGTTTAACGGTTTATGTAGTCCAAAGGAATTACTTTCTAACACCTCTTTTCTACTCTGTATTTCTTAAACCATATATTCAGTTACCAGAAATGGGCAACATAAACAGTAAAGCATGTTATTTTACATTTGTTTGCTACAAGTGCACCAAATTTTGGAGTCAGAGGGCAGGTAAGTGACATGTGAGCCTGCTGTGATTTGCATTACAATTTAAGGAAGCTTCCAGTCATTTGTGCTTAAAGAACACTGCCTCATTCAGTCTGGAAAATGAAGTTTTTAATAGTTCAGTCCAGTCACAATAAACAAACTTAACTCCAAGCTATATTGTAAAGGGATCTAGGAAACTGTCCTCAATAGATATATAGCAAAGAATTTGAAGGCATGTTCTAAACAAAGTTGGGCTACCAACAAAATATAAATCTGTGATTAAAAAGAACTACACAAATATTCAAAATACCATTAGTGACAAGATCTTTAAATTAGATTCAATGTGAAAACCAAACAAAATATTTTCAACAAAGTAATTCTGGGTCAATAAAATTGTGAAATTAACTGGTTTCCGTTTAAAAAATGGACAAAATGGTTCTAACTCAGCAACCTTAACTGTACATACCGGGAAAAGGTAACATTAAGTAATAAAACACTAGTATCAGCAATCAAAGCAATGAAAAAGAGCAAGTTAGTGGGCCAATTTCTATTAACCTGTAATCTGAAAAAAAAAAATTTATCTTTAATATTGTATGATTTATGTTCCTAATGATAAACTTTCTGAATAAAACTCGTTTAATTTTTTCTATACTTCAAAACTGTGAATGTAATTGACCATTTTACTATCTACATTAGAGCTCAGTCTAGTATAAGACAACATGAAGCGACTGGCTTAGAGAACAAGGGCTACACATAAAGGCAAATATATAATACTGTGCTGGCCAAACAAAAGTGTGCTGGTGGCATAGTGCCTAAGGCATGTGACTGCTAACTAGAAGGCTAGTGGTTCACACCCACCAGTCACTCCTCAGAAGGAAGGTTGGACAATCTACTTCTTAGTGACAGTGTCTCAAAAACCCAAGGAGAGGTCACTATGAGTCGGGTCTGATTCGATGGCAGTGAGTGAGTGGCCAAACAAAACACTCTCTAAGTTTCTAAAAGAACAGCTACCCTTTCTGATCCCTGGCCTCAATATAACTACCTAGTTTTGAAGAAAAAGCAGCAAAGAAAGATGATAAAAATACAAAAATGTAGGAGTCTCTTTGTATTGATAATGAGTCTGGGAAAAAAATAAAACACTTAATTACTCAGCAGTGAATGGTCTACTCAGTACTCTATCAAAACAGTAGTTAGGGTCCCCAAATGGATGTACCTAAACATATGGTTGTAGAATTATCAACAGCTATTTCAGAGGATGGAGCTCTGGTGGCATAGTGCCTAAGGCATTTGACTGCTAACCAGAAGGCCAGTGGTTCAAACCCACCAGCCACTCCTCGGAAGGAAAACTGGGCAATCTACTTCCACAGTGATACCACCTTGGAAACCCAAGGGGGGGGGTCACTGAGTCAGATCCAACTTGACGGCAGTGAGTTTGGTTTTGGTTTTATACCAGAGGAACATTAGGCACTAAATATAAGCCAGCGGGAATGCTCTTGGTTGCCTCGTATCACAGGCATTCAAGTAGTACACTCAAATTACAAGACACTGAGTAGATTTAATCAGTTTTGTATCATACTGCACCATAATCAACTGTATACATTATGATGACTCATTCTGGAAAGAAAATAGGAACTTTCCCCTATTCCCTCATACTTCTACCATTTGCATACTTCCCAAGTGAGTCAGTAAAATAAAATGACTCAGGCTAGACCAGGTAAAAGAAATGTATTAACATAATCCAAAGAAAATGAAACGAAACAATCCAGAGTTCTTGGGTGTTTTTTCACACTTATATAATAAGCTATAAAACATTCCAATTAAGTAAAACCATATGCCACGCAAAAAAAAAAAAAAAAAGAAAAAGAAAAAAACTCCCATCATCCAGAATACTAATGCCCTTACACAACACTAAACAAATTTTAATACAAAACAGTAGAAACCATATGCCATTCAGAAGAAACCTCAAAACACTACAAAACAGTGACTTAAGTACTCAGAAAAGCTGAAGCCAAGACCTCAGAATCCACACATCCTGGTTATTTACCTGAAATGCAATTAACCACCCATACACATTGAACTGTAATTAATTTTTCAAAGATATACAAAGAAATCAATTCATCTAATTAAAAAGGCTACCCTTTATAGTTAAGAACTTTACATTAACTTTTATATTCTATTCAGCAAAGTGTCTTCCTGTATTTCATATTAGCACTCATGTTCCAGGAAATAAACAAATTCATAATATGCCTTGTGCTCACTTATGCCCTGTTTATGTAATTTTAGTCCACTAAATGTAATTCCATAGAATATATTCTTGATAATGTAAAGAACCTAATATTTCTTGAAATACTATCATTCTCTTCTCCAATGGATACATTTTTAAGTATGTAGAGAACTGAGAATCACTCCCATGAAAGACAAAAAAAAAAAAAGTGTAATTTTGTTCCAAAATTTAGTCTCATATATTTCTATTAAGTCTTTCAAGGATTCCAGAGAATCTTTTCATATCTCCATTTCTGGAAAGTGAAATCAGTATAGAAGTAATTTGGGAACTTGAAAATGGCATTCATTTTTTTTCAGCAGATGCCAAAATTTTTGACCGACATGGCTCCCACAATTACTTTGTTACCATCAGTCCAGTCAGTTAACAGGTTGTAGGAAAATATTCATTTTTGCAGACACTGCTAAGCTGTTCAAAGAGAAGAGAGAGAGATTAATTTAGCAATTATAAAATGCACAAATATTTAATTAAAATATTTTGAACACTTTTGTTGGATTATATCAGCAGTGAACTCCATTTTAACGAATGTAGACTTTGTAGTTACGTCTGGTGAAGGAAGTGCAGGTATAGTTAAGTCATTATGATAGAAATAGGTCAATATGATGTGTTAGTTTAATTAATGTATGAATTCCTACTACCATCAGAAAATAAGTATTAAAAAGCTACATCTTTAGTATAGTTTTGTATTTTGCCATTTGGTATATTAAGCGTAGGAACTAGAGGCACAAGAGAAAAAGTTTCCCCAAATACTAAAATTTCATCCATCACAGTAAACAGAATGAAATCTGAAAATTTCAAAACAATCTATATTTCTGAAATCTCCTTTACCCAAATACTAATCATTCAGAACACAATTTTCTAAAAATAGTAAGACAACAGTTTCATATTAATCATAAAGTTTTTAATTAACAAGTCGTGGATAGGACACTTTAAGATGGTTTACTACATACTGAAATAAACAGATCTGTTATAAATTCAGAAACCCAAACATTTACAGTAAAATGTGCTTACATATAAATATTACCAAATTTATTTAAAGCCCCTATTAAGTAGGTCCTAAGTACATGCAATTACCATGTAAAAACAAGACCATGAATTCGATGTAAAAATGACAAAAATCACTAAGTCACCAAAATTGGGAAAAAAAAAAAAAAAAGAGAATGAAATGGAAACAAAGACAGTTAATAAAAACTTAAGGAACCAAACAAAGCAGCTTTAAAAATAGGCCATACTAATCTTTCCATTTTCAAAAGTTTTGAATCAAGTATTCCCAAAAACTGCCATTTATAAAATGACATTCTATTATCTACACTTGGAATTTCAAAGCATCTCAATTTAGAAAGCTTTGATTACTCCTTTCCCCAGCCCCAAACGTCAAATAATGCAGGGAAAGCATTGACAATTAGAAAGAAAATATTCCAAGGGAATGGTATAATTTTTAGAAAAACACTAACTGCCTCCAGAACCTTCTAAGACCCACAGTCAGCATTAATAACAATCATTTTTCCTATTTTCATCCATTATATTCCAATGTCACGTTGGAGATGAATAAATTCTTTGAGCCCATGAACTTAAAGATCAACAAACCTGGTTTTATTATGACACCATTATTTTTGTCATTGGTACTGCACAAAATTATGTACAAAGAAATATATACAAAATGTTCAAGTATTAGTTAAATTTCAATTCAAGGCTTCTCTTTCAAAAAGCTACATTTAACATATTCCATAGATAGCACAAATTAGTCATTTCAAATAATTTTCCCAACTACTTTTGGTTTATATATTTAATTCAGTAGGCACTAAAAATCCATGCAGCTGCATTATGAGGGGCTTGCTCCTGCACTTAGTATAAGCAGGTTCATTACTCCAGGTTGTGAGTTTGGCTACTACCCATTCATGCTCAAGTGCAGTAGATGATTTTACAAAATATGCTGTGATGCACTGGAAACCAGAGACCAATTTAGGTCTCAAATCTTATTATCTAGCAACAAAACATTTACAGTGGTGCAAGAACAAGGATTCCATTTTCATCATCAAATAACAACAAAATAAAACATTTTATGTGTAAGATTCCTACATCTTTGGACTGCTGGAAAAAACTTTTTAATTATGAACATTTTAAAAATAAAAGACAGCAGAAGCCCTGATATTACCTCTTTTTTCCTCATTTCTTATACTACCTTTTAAAATAAAGCAGGAAATGTGGCCAGCAGCTGGTCCCGTCTCTTCTGCCCCAACAGCTGTATCCACTTTAGCACAAAGAAAAACAAGGATGCTAAATACGTATATACTTTATCAAACAGTGATGTTTCACAAAGAATTTCTTAATGTCTCTTACAATGAAAGACACCGTAATTTAATTTGTACAACTAGACAATAGTAATAGTATACTTCAAGGAAAAAATATGTCCATCTTTGGAAAAATCATGTTAATTCTGTCATTTAAGCGGCCAGAAGCACTCTGAAAATTATTTTTTAGAATTCTGAAATGCTTTTGAAATAAGGAGAGTAAGATTCTTTGTGAAGCCTCACTTTACACTTTTTCATTCACATTTCACAATCTTCATTATTTAGTCATACATACATAAATTTAACCTAAAATTTTAATACAACAAAAGTAAAGATGTTCGACAATTTATTCATACTCAGTGATAGGGTAATCACTGTGCTGGTCCTCAAAGGAATATTTCATTAACCATTCTTATTCTTCCTCCAATTAACTAACACAGGAATCTGATATGCATATTAACTTCAACTTCTCTAAAAGTAAGAGATTAAAATCTGTTATCTGAACAGACTGAATTTATCATCTACTGAAATCTAAAAGCCATTCTGGAATATTTAAGAGATTTCTGTCATCTCCAGCAAAATAACTATCACATCTGTGCATGCCCCAAATACTTATAATGTCAATCTCTGAAAGGTTGCTCTAAAATTGGAATTCCAATTTGCACCTTGTACAACTCGGAACTTCCATTCAACTTCACCTGTTTCACTGTATCCAAACTGTATCTCTCTCTATAAGCAGGTTTCAGTGTACAGTTGGAACCGATGTCATCCAAGGCCATGTCCACACTGGGGACAGAAGAGCTAGGTACACGCAAGTTTGAACAAGGGGACACATTAACAGCTATTTCAACCAGAAAAAGCATCTTAAACACATTATTGACCAGCACAAGTCTGTTTCCAGGGTGGACAGGGCCCAAGTTAGATTCCCCTCCCCAACCTTCCAAAAAACATTTAAAAAAAACAAAAATCACACACACACATATTGAGATGTTGCCCATTAAAGTAGACTAAGCAGCAGAGCATGAGCGTTACGTGAAGAGATGGATCCTTACCAGGTTGTGAGGCGGGAACGACTGTTCTGTAACCCCTACAACGGAGCCTGGCAGGAAGGAAATCACCTAAAAAAGAAACTGTCAGAGAGATTTAATAGTTACATGTTATCATTAGGAGTTGGTTACAGTGTCACATTCATGCTTTTAGCTAAACACTTAAAGATTCAATATTACTTTTCCTCCTCTGACATGTGTCCAGTGAAGATGTCCCACTAAGGTGTTTTACATGGTGTAAGGGAGTTGAAAGGGGTAAACGCGGATAAAGAGCAGATTACTTGACCCTACATTTTAAGAGAAGACGACGCCTTCCGGGCGCAAGCCGAGCAGAACTCCACCGACACCTTATCCTTGTCCACATGAAGACACACTCCTCCCGCTGAGTCGTCCTCTTCTAGCAGGTCCTGCTGCTGCTTTCCCACCGGCAGAGCGTAGTCGTGGTCACCGGCGGGCGAGTCTCTGAAGAGGGAAGTAGTCAGCCGCAGTCCCACGCCGCTCAGCCGGCTCAGCAAGCGAGCCAGTCCGGTCTCGTTGGCCAAGACGGCCCGTAGGTAGCGACTCTCCTCCTGCAGTGCTTGCACGCGTTTGCCCAGCTCCCGATTCTCAGCCCGGAGCTCCTGGTTCTCGGCTGCCAGACCCCGGACTCGACTCTCCAACCCCATCACGTATTCCTTCTTCTTCAGCCGATTAAGACGGGCAGCGGCCGCCGCCGCCTTCCGGGGACTCTTTGTTGCCGCCTGGTGGTTGTCGTTGTTGCTGCTGCTGCCGCCGCCGCCGCCGCCAACACCGCCTCCTCCAGGGGACTTTCTCCGCCTCTTTTCGCCGCTGCTACCGTCGCTGCTGCAGGCCCCGATACCGTTTAACAACCTCTGCAGCAAGTCAGAAAAGCGCTGCATCTCAGCAGCCGCGGCCTCGTCATCATCGTCCCCTCTCCATAAGCCACCGCTATCTGAACCGCCGCCCGAAGAAGAGAGAGGCCCAGGCGAGCTGAGCCCGGGTTCCAGATGCCAGTCCGGTTGCCGAGGGTCTAGCAAGTCGGCTAGTTCCAGCCCAGACAAAAAGTCCATGTCCTCCGACTCCTCTCCCGGGACAGTGGCAATAGCCTCCTCCTCCATTTCCTCGGGCGAGGGCGCGCGTACGGCCACGCCGCCGCGACTCCCCCTCCCCGCCTCCAGTTCTCCCTCGTCGCCGTGCGGCTGCTTGCGGCCGGGAGATCCGGCCACCGCCGTCTCCTCCTCCTCCACCGCCGCCCGAGTCAGATCCGGAGGCAGCGAGCAGGCCGCGCCCGGCGCCAGGCTCTCGCTGCGGGTCGGGGAGTCACTGCCCGAGGCCGCCAGCAGCTTGGTCAGGCTGTGCCTCATGGGGCCCAGCGGCGGGCCCACGTAGGCCCCGGCCCCGCAGACCGGGCCTCGCGGGCCCCACGGACCCCAAGCCCCAGCGTGGGGATATGGGGCGCTGGCCGGAACAAAATGAAGGGGAAGTTTCAAGCGCTCTCCTGCCTCACTTGGCCTGTCGACCCCCCGCACTGGGGCGGGGGGCGGGGGAAGGACGGAAAATCGAAGCGGCGAGGCCCAGCGATGACTCGGCCGCGCCACCCAGACAACGGCCTGGCCGGAAGTCAGTCGGTCTCGCCCAGCCCCTCCCACTGCGTTTCGCGCGCCACCAGGCTCTGGTATCGCGAGAGATTAGGATGCTTTGGAGTGGGAATAATTCCAGGGTTCCAATGATGTCATATAACAGCGGTAAAAATAACAAACCCCAGATTTATGGAAAACTGATTTACCCTCGTTAACCTTACTTTTTAAGCCTTTGCATTCTACCTTCCACTTCCAATGCTACCGTTCTTAGACTTTATCTTCTAGATACCAAATATATGAATTACCGTCAGCGGTGTTAATAATAAAGCAACTGAGACCCAGATTTACGCAATGATAATGCATTGGCAAGCCCCCTTTGTGATAAGACATATGTTAACCATAAACTCATTTAAAGTTTACTCTGTGCAAAGAATTTAACTTCACCAAAAAGTAAATTAGTTTTTCCCCTTGTTTCCTGAGAAAAGAATTTGAAACCTTTGGAATTTTCCGAGGAGTTGAGACGCTTTGATTATTTTAAAACCTGCAGAATAGAGGAATCAAAGCCAGAGATTACCTAGAAATCTGATGCCAGTTGATCTCAGTAAGGAAGCAGGAAGGATGGATGGTTCAATCAATCACGTTAATATGAGCCAATAGATCCTTTTCTATTCTATTTCCTCCTCTTAAAAACCTCCTTGTAACTAGCCTGCCCTGAACCTTCTTTTTTTTTTTTTTAACAAAATTTTCTACTTGTATACATCATACAGATTAACGGCTCAAATAAACCCTATATCCATTCATTACTTTGTGCTTTGATTATTTTTACATCAGTTATCCTAGATTTTTCTGGAATTAAGACTAGTAACCAAATCATTCTTGAAATTTCAAGAATGATTTGGTTACTAGGCCGACTTGATGGCAAATAACAACAACAACAAAACAACCCTTTATAAAACAAGATCTTTTCACTCAAACACTATAGAGTGAGTTCTGGAAAAACAGGTAAGTAAGTAAATCATTCATATTTAATTTTTTCCAACTTTTTAATGTGAAAAAACTTCCAAATGTAAGAAACAAAATATGAAAGAATAGTTCCGTGTCCACTTTGATTCTAATGACATGATTCAACAATTGAACAATTGTTAACATTTGGCCATATTGGTTTTATTTATTGTGATAGTTAAAGTTGTATGTCAACTTGTTTGGGCCTGGCTGCATGGCTGGGCAGCAGGTGGTAGTTATTCCCCATGATGAGACGCAATCAACTCCATGGTGGGATCTACCACAAGCAGCTGAGTAGCTGCTTTTGGTATGTGGTCTGTTTACTGTAAGAAGCAGCTTTGGGAACGGTCTCTAGCTTATAGAACACTTGAACTCTGCATGTAGCCATATTGTTGTTCAGCAGCCTGCCATGCATGCTCTGCCAATCCTGGGATTTTCAATGGACTTGAATCAATGGCCTGTCATGTTGTTTGGTAACACTGGGACCGTGCCATTTTATTTGTCGACCTTGGGCTTGTTAGCCTCAGCAGCCAGTAACTGCCTGAGTGAAGAGATGCCTCTAGCTTCAGGGGGCCAGGAGCAAGAGGCAGAGCTGAAGCCCAAGGTCAAGGGGCTTTCCCACAACCTCTAGAGCCTGGCACTTTGAACTTGGACTTCTAGCCTCCCAAACTGTTAGAGAATAAACTCTGTTTGTTCAAGCTATCTCATTGGTGGTATATTCCTGTCAGAGCGGCACTAGGTGACCAGAACATTTGTATATAAATATTTGTAAATACAATTTTTTTCCCGAGTCATCCCTAGATATCTCATTCTTCAATACTTTAGCATGCATCTCTTAAAGTAAGGTTATTCTTCATAAGCATAGTACTATTATTATTCATAGAATTTTTAAATAGTCAATCTATTGATATTTTCTTAATGGTTTCTGGTTTTGGTGTTAAAAAGGCCTTCTTAGCCCAAAATAATACTAATATTTACATATATTTTAGCAGTTTTTAACAACATGAATTATTTCATTTAAATCTTTATTCCACTTAGAATTTATTTCAACATAAAATGTGAGGAATTTAACTTTTCAAAAGGTTATCTGCCACCATATAATTTATTAAACAGTCCATGCTTTCCCCCACTGATTTCACAGCATATATTACATTTATCAAATTATGACATGTACTTGGATCTATTTCTTGTCTTTTTCTTCTATTTCTTGACCACTCAAGTTATTCTGAAACAAAACCACTCCATTTTTTTTAATTTTTTTTTTTTTAGAGAAGGCCATTTTTCTTTTATTGTGATTTGGGTGAAGATTTACAGAGCAAATTCACTTTCCATACAGCATTTCACATACACTTTGTCTCATGACATTGACCACAGTTTACACAATGCAACAGCTCCCCTCCCACTTCCTCCCCATAGTTACCTCTTCCCAGTGTCCATCTCTCCATGCACCCCTGCCCCCTGAGCTGTCTCCCT